TATATGGATTGAAGTCTGAATATATTGAATGAAACCTTGAATATATGGAATGAAGTCTGAATATATTGAATGAAACCTTGAATATATGGATTGAAACTTGACAGACGTCAGACTTCACCGCAGTGTCTGCGTCCATCTTGTGTAACGTGTGGATGCCATAGCTAAAAGTGAGTGACAATGAGTTAGTCCGCTCACAATCTCGTTGCAGCAATATTAAACTATGAGGACGTCATTAACACACTAGCGAATGCGTGTACAGCCCAAAATCCCCCCGATACAGCTGCCCAATACCGTTCAACTGACAAGGAAGTTCGCTCCCTTTTTATTACTGGCGGATCTACTACAACAGGCAGCTGTTTATCAGGCCAACCTCAGCATGTCTTCAACCTCACAGGAGTGCCCGACAACACCCAGTGTACAATCTCCACCCGTACACAAGGAAGGGTCCAAGACACTGTATGGTTAGCTTGATATAGTTTTCAGGTGATTTAATGAAGGTGAATCACAGTGAATGGCCGTGCGTAATGGCACTGCGCTCTGACGCGTTACCTCTCCGGCACTGGCGAAGCTGCTGCGGCTACAGGGATATCRTGAACTGAAAGAGAAGCTCTTCATAATTTGTTTAGATACAATAAGAATCACCCGCATTCATAGACCAATGCAGGCTGAATATTTCGTTTAGGATTGAACGTATTTGATGATCCGCGACACAGCTTTGGGCACGTTATTCACACAGCGGTCTGCGGACAGACAGACAAATGTATATATTCAAAGTTTCATTCCATATATTCAACGTGTCGGCATTATCTCATTATGCATTTGTCTGCGTGTCCCTGTAGCCGCAGCAGCTTCGCCAGTGCCGGAGAGGTGCCGCGTCAGAGCGCAGTGCCATTACGCACGGCCATTCACTGTGTTTCACCTTCATTAAATCACCTGGAAACTATATCAAGCTAACCATACAGTGTCTTGGRCCCTTCCTTGTGTACGGGTGGAGATTGTACACTGGGTGTTGTCGGGCACTCCTGTGAGGTTGAAGACATGCTGAGGTTGGCCTGATAAACAGCTGCCTGTTGTAGTAGATCTGCCACGATTCAAAACGGAGCGAACTTCCTTGTCAGAAGAACGGCATTGGGCGGGGCTATCGGGGGGATTTTGGGCATACGCATTCGCTAGTGTGTTAATGACGTCCTCATAGTTTAACATTGCTGTAACGAGACTGTGAGCGGACTAACTCATTGTCACTCACTTTCAGCTATAGCATCCACACGTTACACAAGATGGCCGCAGACACTGCGGTGAAGTCTGACGTCAGTCAAGTTTCATTCCATATATTCAAGGTTTCATTCAATATATTCAAGGTTTCATTCCATATATTCAGACTTCATTCCATATATTCAAGGTTTCATTCAATATATTCAGACTTCATTCCATATATTCAAGGTTTCATTCCATATATTCAAGGTTTCATTCCATAT